GAGTTTAACCTGATCCAGTATCTATACCTTCTTCGTATACTACGGGTGGTCTGTCGCTTAACTCTGAGTGCGTTAACTGTCTCCCGGAGAATGGCGTTCAATGCCTGTCTGTACTCTGTCCTGTCCAGTGGACTTGAGCTCCTCGCCTGCAATAGTTGGTGATTGGATTTAGAGAACACCATTCACTTCAACATACGTTGGCAACTCTGGATATGTGGGAATTAAGTTGACTACAATATGCCGACCTTAATTGCGCCAGTAATACTCGGATTGTTTTTGTTATTTTTACTGTAACAGCAAATCTCACCCCACAGAGGATCAGACAAGATGAGTCTAAATCACGAGCTTATCTAACAGAAGGTCAAGAAAACGCGCTGTTTCTTCGTACCAGTGAAATAAGCGTGTTAGTTTAGTAGGTTTTAGAGGGAGCATGCTCAGATCTAAATAGTGTCAGTTTTACTCAAGTCTCTCAAGGTAGCTTGAGCTCTAGATCTGTCATTCACTGAAATAGTTCATAAAGGCGTTGACGGCGTCTTTATATTTGGGGTTTAAAGCCTGGCTAGCCGCCATCCTGTTCAGCGGTTCTTTTTTATGGTGCTGAGTCGGTAAAGTCTATTACTACTTTGCTGATATGGCTGGGTGGAGGTTAAGCCTTAAGTAAATGTCTGTTAAGTTCCACCCGACCTGGTACTCCTCTGTCTAGCTGGTGAAGAGGGTAGTAGAGCATTTCTCTGGTTGTAGTCGTGGCGGTCGGACAAAGAAGTGGGAAAAGTCAGCTGCTAGGCACAGGTACTGAATGATCTCAGTACACTCTCAAGTGTATTTGCCATTAAGATTCTGCGAGACCACTCTAGGTGGTTGTTACAGCCTGAAAGGTTGAGGACTTTGGTGAGGACCTCTGATCTCACTGGGCACAGATGTGTTAGTATGAGCGCGCTTATTTTGTGTAGGAATCGATAGTTTTGGAAGCTTTTTTCTCTTCAGCTCAGGCTGCAGGTCACTTGCCACTTAATTTTTTTTTAACTCAAGGATGCCGGCTGAAATAATTCCAGTCAGTGCATGTCGTCGGGGTTTGACAATGACTGGATGATATACCAAAACTTGATTGCGCCGAATCAAGGGTGGCAGAGATCTCCGTGATCGGGTTATGGTAGGTAACGCGCCTTGACGTCAGATCCACCGATGCAGTTGAAGCGTTGAAGCCGGCCGCAGCAGTAAGGAGAGTTTTAAGATATTGATAAGGGCTTCAGCGTTTGTTCTCAGTACATTCCATGGAGCCGCCAAGTTTTTGTCCGACTACGACTAGCAATTGTGATGTTGAGCTAGGTATGGCGATTACCTATAATTCTGTTAAGAACGTCATTATTTGAAGAGCCGAATATCGAATCATCTATCTGTTCTGTCAGCTCCACTGCTAAATGACCAAAACCAATTGGGTTTCGCCTCTGAGCAGTGCACTTGTGCACTTATGTATATCAGGGAGGGAAACAAGTAAGGAGAGGATTGTGTATATCAAAAACCTCGGTCTCGACATCGCCTGACTCTGCACTGACATTCCAGATAAGTACAGACCGCTAAAGTTCTGAAGATATGGGCAGAGGGTTAGCTGTCAGCAGAAGCTTTCGGCTCATGAAGTCAACGTGTCGATGTTGCGTGTGGCATTTCTATTACCCATGTTCCATGGAGACCGTGGAAACTGTGGATGTTTTAGCAAAGAAGGTACTTGATGATAGAGAAGCTTGGGGTTCAGTTGAAACGCTATCCAGGTAACGAGTACTCCACTCCCTGTCTGTGTTTAAGGTCTGAGCAGGCCGTCTTGGCGTACACAGCAGAAATACGAGTCTTCCATTGCAAGACCAGGGTTCGGTTCGACGCCGGCCAAATAAAAACTTCTATTAGAAAGTACATACTTGATGCAAATCTTTAGGAAAATGTTATTTACTTGACCAATACTGACAAATACTAAAATTTATTACTTATTCCCCACACAAATTAAGAAAGTTACAGCAAGTGCCAGGAATATTTAATTTGTGTGAACTTACTGTCGCCAGCGCCTTTTTGCACTGTTATTTATTTCATATTTTTTCCACATTCTTTAGGCATTTTTGTTGTGTGTGTGCCACGACGACTATGGCGGCAGCGGCGGAGGCGGCGCCGATGACATTTGTTGTTTGATGACCTTTAGAGCACAATACCCTTTGCGTGAGCCATAATAAGCACATTGAACGCACAATCAAATTAGTAAAGAAAAATACCTAGAAACCTGCATACATACATATGCTTGGATATATGCATGTGTATACACAAATAAGCAAGAATGTGAGTAAGTAAGTGCGTACGACGTACGTATAAAAGCCCAACATTGGCGAGACAGTAGATATGTCAACATGTCATGCCGGTTATTGCCACACAGTCATTGCTCTCTCTCTGTGGCCGCCCATCCCTAACAACATCCAAAGCGCACAACACAACCAAGACAACCAAGCAACCAACAAAGACGTTACAATTGTCGTCAATCCATTGTGGCCCATTAATGTAGTTTAACGTTTTAACTTAATATTTACAAGCAATTTGCTCTTTTTATATGTATGTACGCACTTTAGGCGAGTGTCCCTTTACTAGCAGCAAAACATTTAAAATTTCCATTTCACTTTATATTTAAACACTCGCTCGTGTATCAATGCCTCCAGCAATGGCAAATTGTGTGAGTGGTGTTGCACGTTGGCGACTGCCACCCGGACAGCGCAGACGCAGCACAAAAGATGATGTTAAGAATAGCGCAAAAAGCCGAAAAAAGCTTAACGACACCGGCTGGTGTTGTGGCCATGTGGTGATAGCCTCTAACTTAGGCGTACCCTCCTCTGTTGCTTTGTTTTGCGCCTCTCCTTTGCTGCTGCAAGTTACAAAGCATTTTTGCCTTCTTTTACACGCAGTGGCGGCATTGGCACGCACGCATGGACCGTCGCACGAGTTAAATGAAACAAGCAACCAACCAAGCATGATGGAGCATGCCGGGTCATATGTAAGCCTGTATATACATACACATATATTTATGTTTTTGGCTTCTTTTTGTGCTTTTTTTGACGTTAACAGAAGAAAATGGGTGTGGGAAAGTGCAATGAAATTTGTTTAGTGCAACATGATATCATTTTTATTGAACTTAACACTTTTAATTATAAAATATTTAATTCACAATTTAATATAAAAAAATCATCTATATAAATATAATTGGCACTTTGTTACCGCAGAAGCGATTTTCGGCCGTGCTCCTCCACCAATTTGAGGTCCGCCTCCGAACGTCCGTGGATTTTTATTAGTAACTCTCATTTCATATCAGACATACATTCGGAGAATTTGACATTCCTTGCCGCACCGCAACAGCAATTAAAAGAGTTAACTTTTTTTTATTTATTGTTTTTCTATAATTTTAATATGTTGGCCTTTCGAATTACCACTCGGTCGTCGCGGCCGTTAATTATTATTGCCTGTCAATCTAAAATTATTTAATTTTCGTCCGTAAGGGTACAAAATTCTCGACTAGTTTGGCAAAATAAGCAAGCAAATCGAAAATTTGCTCAGATACAAAGTCTCTATCTTACAAAATGAGTAGACAGTTTAAATATTTATGGTATGAAATTATATACTAAAACTCTACACATTAACTTAAAAATATTAGCTTTCTTAAAAAAATTTCTTCCCATTGTGAAATGTAACTATTAAATACAAGTAATTGCCTTTGTGTGTGACAGTTAAGTGTCACAGCGCTGTGGCTGTCAGTGACAGTTAACCCTTCACGTCAAATGTCAACGTTTACCACTAATTAAATAATTGCAAGAGTTTTTTTTTTACACAAAAAGGCAAAGTTTGTAACTACATAAATAATTAATTCCAACATACATATGCATTCATAAAATTGTCCACAACAAAAACTACCAACTTCGCTAGCAGCCATTTTTAAGAAATGCATGCGGGCAGCACAACAACTTCCAACCCTCCAACATCATTTTAGTATTCAAAGTACCAGTAACAAAAGCTTGGTCAAACCGGTGAGTGGGTGGAAGAGGGCGAATTAGCTGGCGCAGCAGCCAGACTGGCAGCAAAAAAGAAAACACACACAAACACACTTGCATGTGCCAATGCAACTACATATTCATTCGCGTGCGCGTAATTGAAAGTGAATTTGTCAAATTGATGAATTCGGATCCAATTGAAAGGCAAACGAATGGAGTAGCAGCGCAGTAGAGGCAATGAAGTAAAGAAATAAAGGGTGCATATACCACAGAGAGAATGCATGAAATGAAGAAAATTAAGTGTGGAAAGTAATTGGTCAGTTAATACTTCATCAGAAAGTGCACTGGCAATTGTGCATATATATAATGCATATGTGTGTGTTGTGTACTGTGCGAAAAGTGTGTGAAAGACAAACAGGAAATAATAATTACCAGAAGAAGAGGAAGAAGACAAGATGTAGTATGTACATATATAAATGGAAGGTAGGAATAAAAATAAAAACAAAGAGTAAAAGGAAGTTGGAGGAGAATGAAGTCAGCAAGCAAACCAGAATTTAATTCCACTGAGACTGAGACTACACACAATGAATTTTTCGATCAGTCGGTTGGTTGATTGGTCGGACGGACGTATGCACTCAAGTTAGCTGCATATTACAGTGTTAGCAATAAAGCCAACCATGCAAGGCACAGCCGGCCACACCTATTCCAGCGGCGCAATCATACGAAAAATCATTGAGCTGCAAATGTGCAGCAAGCATAAAGTGGCACAGTTGATTGGTGATGAGAATGGGTGTAAAGCGGGTGCACAATATCGGTTGTATCTTTTTTTAACATAATTGAGTAATTGACATTATGTACTGCTGTAGTAATATATGCGTATATGTTTATTTAATAAAATATGATTTGTTAAATTAAGTTGTTCTTTCTGCCATATTCCATTTAAGTGTTTTTAAAGTAAAAACAAAATTTCAGTAAATACTGGTTACTAACCTTCAATGCATTCAAATCGATATCGTCCAATGAGCAGTTCACTGATGGGGCAAGTTGCTGTTGGTGCGCCATTTTGATTTGCTATTTTCTGTTATTTCCTTTCTTTTTTTCAACGTTATATTACTCTGCCTTTTAAAGCAGTAATTCTCTTTTATTTTTATTTTTTCTATTTGTCTTTTATTACTGTTTTACACTTCTTGTATTTCATTTATTTCTATTCTATTCTATTTTAATTCACACAAGTCTCGCACTTTATAAATATATATTTGTGTGTATATGTGTATATTTTTCGCTCCACTTCGTTTTTATGTTCTTCTCTTCTTCTATTCTATTTCATACATTTATCATATACATCTTTAATCACTTTATTACATCTACTTTTAAATATTTTATCTTTATTGTATTTGTATTTGGAATATTTTCTCAAGTTTCTAAATGCAAAAACGGAATTAAATCTCTGCACAAATTCAATGGGATAGGTACATACGTTAATTTATATTAACGCTTTCAAGATAAGAAACTAAGAAATCGATTATGATCATAGAGAATATATTCTTTAGAAATCTGCATTTATATATTTTATTATTTCGTACTTCCACCTTATTTTGGGGTGGGGAGCAGCAGCAACAGCGGCTTCTCTCTCTCTCGTTTTCGATTATTCCTTTTCGTTTGTTGCTTTCACTATTCTCCAACTATAATCTTCTCACGAAATTTTCATTTTTCACAAACTTTTTTCTTTGTTTGTTTTATGCTTGAGTAAATGATTTCTAATAAAAAAAATTAGCAATTTTTCACGTCTCAGCCATTTGGGAGGCGGTACACTAGTGCTTATGGCGATGGCGATGACGGCAGCAGCGGCCAACAATCACACAATAAGCGAATGGAGTTTGGAGCTGAGATATAATTTATATGTGTGTTGTTGGTGCTCACACTACCGCTCATGTATTTATTCGAGCTGTCGTTGTTGTTGCCGCCGTTATTGGTAGCGGCTGCGGCAGGTAGACAACTGAAAACTGCCACAAGAAAAATATCTGAAATTTTCTACTTCATTCGCTGCTACGAGTAGATATGCACAATGTTTAGATATTTATAATTTTACTACAGCACACAAACACAACCAGTATGTTATGAATTTTTCACTGCATGCACTTTTTCCTCATAAGTTCCGGTTTGTAATTTTTTCTTTCACCAAAGAAAAAACTAATTTAATATGATTTTTCCTCCACGCCCGATTCACCTAATATACCTTTCACATGAACGAATGAAGAATGAATGAAAATTTCGTTGGTCGGTTTCGGCATTAACACAGCGAATTCGATAAACAGGGCAAAGAAGATGCGAATAAAACGAAAATGGAAAGGTTGACCATTGTTGTAACCAATTAGTATGGAGAGCCCAGTAACTTTATAGGCAAATTCAAACTAAACTAAATGAAATTACAAGAAAAATTTTTGGTAAAACGTTAATAGAGATATCTTTATATTTTCTTTAATTTTGAAAAAATCTCAATGGAATTTGTTTAAAATTTTTATGTACATTTTTATTAAATCATAAGGTATTTAATGAATTAATCGAGAACTGATTGCGTTTACAGCACCATCTATGTATGAACTTTTATTTAGTAGCTGTTTTGTTGGTATTGCTACTATAAGTGCTGCCAGATGATATTATACAATTTACTTTCAGTAGTTATAACTGAGTGAGTCATTTTGTTGAATGAGCGGATAGTAGTGAAATGATAAATTGACAATGTGATATACAGTTTTTAAACGTATATTAATATATATTTTATTCAAAAAATTATTTTTTAATTAGTAAACTGAGTTAATTTACATAGGCACATAAACATTCCTTGATATAAAACCAAAGGCATTTGTCAACTATAGTTTGTAAACTTTAGGATTATAAAAAAGGTAAATATCATATTTTTCGTCTAGTACGTTAAGTACTTCTGATTGGAGCAAATAGGCGGTGTCTACGTCGGCAAAGACTAATAGAGGTACTGCCAGAAACTCAAGAAATATTCCGTTGCCAATATAATTTCAGCTCTTACATTTCGGATATATATGTATGCGTATTTTTTCAATGATATCTATCTAAGAGCCTATACAAATTTGAATTTTCTTGTTTTTCCCCCATTTTACAGCCACAAAGAAAGTAGTTGCGGGCCAGTAATCTTACTATTACTACAATAGTGCTGAATTTGCTCACCTCTTCAATGAGACACTATACTCCATAAAAACCGACCACCATCCGTAAAAAAAATTACTAGAATTAATTGAATTTGAAAGAACTTTCTTTCAAACTATATAAAGTCTTATCGGCATGAGTTCCCTTTTAAATTATTACATAATTTATTTATATTTTGAAATTTCAAATCAGTTTTTGCAAAAATTCAATCAATAATATACTAATTTTAGCACTCTTCACAATTTTTTTTTACAGTTAACTGGATTTCAGCAACAAATATTTTGACAGCACACAGGATAAATAAAATCTTCTGTTTTTTTATTTTTAGTAAATATAAATTCTTTTATATATTTTTCCGATTGGCTTTGACCTTGATCGATTAAATTTATCAGTCGTCATATCATTCATGCAATCCAACAACTCAAAGGGGAATGCAACCGAAATCAGGAACGGAATGATTAGAAGATCTAAATTTTCCCATTTTGGATGCTGTTAATGATTTTAAGCCAGTTCAAAAGAATTTAAAAATTTTTAAATACCCTGAGGAAGTTTTTCCAAAAAATTTGGAGCTAACAGCTAATTAGATTGAATAATTAAACATATGTCATAAACGGAAATGTAAGCTCCATATTATATCGACTGAATTTGCTTTTAATGTCACCCTGTGGCTGGGAAATTTTTCGTTCTGTCAATTTTGATTGGAATTAAAGCTCAGTAAAGTAAGTAATTCGTTATCAGATAATAATTTTATGCTTTATGTATTATTAGATTGCATTTGTGTAACATTTGGTTATAGTGTACTGCTGTTCTAAGCTTTCGTACATTTTTATGCTATTGTGAATACTATCTACAAGCAGAATTGAGGAAATGGCTGCGCTTCCCCGTCTGCGACAACACTTCCGGTTCAGTAAATAGATATTAAGCAAATATAAATAATTTTTTATTTATGATTTTTGAGTGATACAAAGTTTCATTATTAATGCTTTATTGCAAGTTTATTTATGATAACAAACATAGTTTCCATACGTTTTGAAATTTAGTCTTGGCGTCAATTACACTGAAACTTATATTATGTTGATGTCATGAAATATTTCTTGTTGCTAGATATTTTTTGACATCTAGTTGATATGCATAATTTACATATCATGTAATAAAATTATATTAAAAATACTGAATTAATATTTAGTCACAAATGTACATAGTAATTCATGCGCACATATATATAATTCTTAGCTTCCCATGTGCACATACATACACGCTACGTTATAAAACTCCCTTTATCGCCTCAAGTAGACAACATCGAAATCTCAAATGTTATTAAAACTGACGTTATTTTTAAATGTCTTATTTGTTTTTTGTGTAAGCGGTTTGTCTTCCTGCCCCCCAACAGCTTTGAATCATACGCGCAGTGATGTGTGCCGGTGCGGTGTAGCGCGGAGATCAGCAAAGTCAAAGACAAACAAAAGCATCAATCCGAACGTTGGTTGGCAAAAGTACCTATACAAGTACAAATGTAGCCGCTCTCCAACGAAATCCGGTCGCAGTTTCAATTCAGTTTTGAGTTGTTTTCCGTTGCGAACGAACGTGATATTTTTGCGGGCCGCGGATAGCGCGTTAACAAGTAGTATTTTGGGTACTTGGAGCAATATATACAAATGTACATACATACATATATATAAGGTTGTGAAGTAGCCAAAAAGAGAAAACGATTTGTAAGCTTTATTTAAAACGATTTTACATACACATGTAATAGATTACGCGAAATGCAAGTGAAATAAAAGAATAAGCAAAGTTTAGAAAAATTTACAACGAGAATAATAGTAAAAACAGCAACGGCTAATTAGAAAGCACGGCATATGAGAAATTGCTTAGTGTGAGCCAATTGACTTAAAAACATCTATGGGTCGCTTACGAGATTTATGTATTTCCATACATACGTAACTACCTAAATAGTTTAATATTTTAATTTTCTTTACCTCTGAGCGTTTCTCTAAAACTAGTTTTTGTGCAAACGCACGTACGCACTCACACATAGCGAAAGAAATGAGCGAGTGCTAACATGTGTAGGAATTTGTTGTTAAAACACTACCACTGAGAGTTGCCGGTGCACTCAGCTTCGACTCTGCCGTTCTGTTTTACCTACATGTGTTGCTGCTGTTATTGACTCTGCACGGTAAACAATGCTGTCGGCGTTAACAAAAATGTAAGGTAACTGCGCAGCTTAACAGCAACAATTCATACAGCGCGTTAATGGCTTATAGTCAACAGCGCAGCATTTAAGAAGAAGAAGAAATAAAAACAAAACGGAAACAGAAGTTGACGCAAACGCAGAAACCGGCAGCCGCAGCAGCGGCAGCGACAGCGGCAGTTGTGAGTGGCAACGTAGAGTTGGCAATATAACCATAGACAACATTCTCTTCTTTGCCGTCGTGAAGCCAACAACGTAGTTGTTACAAGACCGGATCAATATTCGAAAAATTTCCAAAATTTTGCAAATTACTGCCTACGCGTTTGAAATGTTATAATAATGATTATTTTTTTATGTTGTGAAAACAAAAAAATGTTCTTGAATTGAGAATTAGCGTGATTTGTAAACAACTTTGTTGTGGAAGGGTAAAAAAATCGTTAACATGTACTTACAAATATGGATATTAAGTAAATGAGTGAAAATCATATTTACCGCCATCTTGCATTTCCGCCGCGTTGTGCCAATTTGCTTGCTCAGATATACCAGTTGCTTTTTGCTGTTTCATTTTTTTTCTTCTATTTTTTATTCGTTGTTGTGTTGTGTTGAATAAATTCAATTACGAAAAGTGGATCGTCAAAAACGACGACGTAGAGAAATGCGAAAATGCATGCAGTTGTAGAAACAAGGAATAAAAAAAAAACTAAATGAAATACGAGAAAAAAATGTTAAAAAGAAAAAAAATATATAAATAATTTCATTTCACCAAATATGAGCGAAAATACTAACTCGTTTTGTTGAGGCGAGACTTATGCCTTTCACGTTAATTTTTCGTTCATTGTATTTGCATATAATTCATTAGAGATTTTTAGAAAAATATTGACATAATAAATCAATTGGGTTTAATGCAGTATTTTGTTTCGTAGATTATTTTTATTAAGCCATAAATATATGTATAGAAAGCTTGGTTTTCATTTTATATAACATGTATAATAAATAATTTATGGTTTCAAATTCATACTGAAGGAGGATATAATTTCTTAAAGTTAATTAATTAATTAAATTTGGTAATATTAGCTCGTGTTTTTAAGAACTTATAGTGAGTTTCTTCTAATATATATTCTTGAAAAAAAATATTCGGTTTTTTAGTGAGTTGTTTTTTTTTAATTTCGTTTAAAAAAATTTTTATGCAAAATCTTAATAAAACGTGAAAGGTATATTCCACGATTTCGCGAAACGTAGTTGCACTCTGTTTTTCGCTGAACAACTTAACCACTAATTCCCTAAGAGTTATCTGTCGACTTGTTGACTGACTTGCAAGCTGACGACTGGCTTATTTGCTATGTACATACTTACATACATATGTACATATGTGGCAGTGTTAAGCGGTAGAAAAAGCAAATAGCAAATAGCAACGTCGCGTTTAAGCTATCGATCGCGTGTTTATGGAACTTGCTCTGTGTTGTGCTACTTTTCGCTAAAAAAAAAAGTAGAAATAAAGAAAGAAAAAAAGAAAAAATCGTTGCAAATTGCAAATTTAACTTTCGATTTAAAAGCAAATTGAATTGTGATCTGCTCGCCTTACTGCAATAATCGCTGGTGAAAATAATTGAAACTTCTATGCAAAGTAGACGAAAGCTGTGTGCAATAAAAAATAACAAAGAAAAACAAAACAGCAACAACAACTATAAAATTACATTTGTGATATTAAGCGCTATTTTCTGATTTGATTGCTGTTATTGTGTAGAATTACAGGTGTACGTACATACATACATATGTACATATGTTAGTTAGAAGTATGAAAGTGAGTTCGAACTAAATTTAACCGAATAAGAAGAAGAAGAGGAATAGTTGAAAGGCGCAAATAGTTGCTTAAGCAAAAGTTGTATTGGAGCTGTTTTAATGACATTAAGCTGCCCAACAACAACAGCAAAAATAAAAGAAAAATAAAAAAACAACAGCAACATCAACTAATAGAACAACAAAGTTGTAAAGCTTCATACC